AATATATTTTTAATTTATAAAATAATAATAAAAATAAGTATATTTATTTTTGTTATTATAAAATAATAAAAATTATTTATTTTTCACATGAAATAGATATTTATTTTTATTTTATATATAAATTAATATTTTTAATATATTTTTAAATCTATACTATGTTATGTTATCTCATATATTATATTATATTATATTATATTATATTATATTATATTATATTACATGATATTATATTATACAATACTATACTATGTTATACTATACTATGTTACATTACATTACATTACATTACATTACATTACATTACTTTACATTACATTACATTACATTACATTATATTACATTATATTATATTACATTAGATTAGATTATATTAGATTATATTATAATCTCACTAGATATACTTTTCTGCAGCTCAGGGAGTTATTCTATCCAGGCATTAACACACAGCCCATTCTTCTATTTATCCATACTTTTCCACTTCTCACATAATTTTTCCGCTGACCAATCCCACGGCTCCTGCTCAGCTCTAACCCCATTTCTGCAGCTTCCGAGTCCTTTTCCATTTTTCCCAAACCCCTCTGATTTTATGGATTCCCACGGGGGAGCTGAATGTTGGATTTTTTCGTGCGCAGGTGATGAAAACCTACCACATGTACAACGCTGACAGCATCAGCGCCCAGAGCAAGCTGAAGGAGGCCGAGAAGCAGGAGGAGAAGCAGATCGGGAAGTCGGTGAAGCAGGAGGACAAACAGACACCGCGCTCCCCCGACTCCACCTCCAACGTCAAGTTCGAGGAGAAACACGTGCGGAGGAGCTCCGTCAAAAAAATCGAGAAGATGAAGGAGAAGGTGATGGCAGGGGCTGTCCTCTGGGGCGAATCTCACTCCTTGGGCGGGTTCCAGACAGCTCGAGGGGAGGGAAAGCCGGCAGCTGATCCCTTCAGGACAGGCTGGGGCGGTTTGGGTTATCCCAGGGAATGGGGTGTGGGCAAGAATGGGATGGGCATAAAAATGGGGTGTGCGGGAAAATGAGATAGGCAGAAAAATGGGACGGGCACAAAAATGGGATGGGCACAAAAATGGGATGTGCACAAAAATGGGATGGGCACAAAAATGGGATATGGATGGCACAAAAATGGGATGTGCAGCAAAATGAGATGTGCAGAATAATGGGATAGGCACAAAAATGGGATGTGCCTAAAAATGGGATGTGCGGGAAAATGAGATAGGCAGAAAAATGGGGCACGCACAAAAATGGGATGGGCACAAAAATGGGATGGGCACAAAAATGGGATGGGCACAAAAATGGGATGTGCAGCAAAATGAGATGTGCAGGAAAATGAGATAGGCAGAAAAATGGGACATGCACAAAAATGGGATGTGCACAAAAATGGGATGGGCAGAAAAATAGGACGTGCATGGCACAAAAATGAGATGTGCACAGCACAAAAATGGGAGAAGCACAAAAATGGGATGTGTCTAAAAATGGGATATGCATGGCACAAAAATGGGATTTGTACATAAATGGGATAGGCACAAAAATGGGATGTGCACAGCACAAAAATGGTAGAAGCACAAAAATGGGATGAGCATAAAAATGGGGTGTGCACGAAAATGGGATGGGCACAAAAATGGGATATGGATGGCACAAAAATGGGATGTGCAGCAAAATGAGAGTTGCAGAATAATAGGATAGGCACAAAAATGGAATGAGCACAAAAATGGGATGAGCATGAACATGGGATGTCCACAAAAATAGGATAGGCATGGCACAAAAATGAGATGTGCACAAACATGGGATAGGTGCAAAAAATGGACTGTGCACAAAAATGGGATGTGCATAAAAATGGGATATGTGAAAAGTGGGATGTGCATGGCACAAAAATGGGATAGGTACAGAAATGGGATGTGCAAAAAATGGGGTATGCACAAAAATGGGATATGCATGGCACAAAAGTGGGATGTGCATAAAAATGGGATGTGCGCATAAGTGGGATATGCACAAACATGGGATGGGCACAAAAATAGGACATGCATGGCACAAAAATGGGATGTGTACAAAAATGGGATAGGCACAAAAATGGGATGTGCATGGCACAAAAATGGAATTTGTACATAAATGAGATAGGCACAAAAATGGGATGTGCACAAAAATGGGATGTGCATGGCACAAAAATGGAATTTGTACATAAATGAGATAGGCACAAAAATGGGATGTGCATGGCACAAAAATGGGAGAAGCACAAAAATGGGATGAGCATAAAAATGGGGTGTGCACAAAAATGGGATGGGCACAAAAATGGGATATGGATGGCACAAAAATGGGATGTGCAGCAAAATGAGATGTGCAGAAAAATGGGATAGGCACAAAAATGGGATGTGCATAAAAATGGGATGTGCACATAAATGGGATATGCACAAACATGGGATGGGCACCAAAATAAGACATGCATGGCACAAAAATGGGATGGCCATGCGTTTTTTTGTCTTTCTGGTGTTACTCACCTCTTTTAATGCTATATTTTCATTTTTTAATGCTGTATTTTGGGGTTTTTTTCATCTTTCAGCGCCAAGCAAAGTACACAGAGAACAGACTGAAGGCGATCAAGGCAAGGAATGAATATCTGCTGGCGCTGGAAGCCACCAACGCCTCGGTGTTCAAGTACTACATCCATGACCTGTCTGATCTCATTGATGTAAGTGCTGGGGCCAGGAGCCTCCCCCTGCCCTGTCCTCCCTGTGCACAGCTGGAAACCTGCACAGCTGGAAAATACACAGCTGGAAACCTCTGCACAGCTGGAAAGCTCTGCACAGCTGGAACCTGCACAGCTGGAAACCCCTGCACAGCTGGAAACCCCTGCACAGCTGGCCTGGGCAGCTCGGGCTGGCAGTGCCTGATAATTTGGTCATTAAGTTGTCCCAAGAGCTTTTCTCAGGTGTTCACCTCTGTTCCACAGACATGGAAATTATTATATTATTATATATTATTATTATTATAGAGGAAAAGGAGGAGCTGCTCAGTTAAAGTGAAACCCAGCTTCAGTGTCACTCTGCTGCCTGATGTTTTCATTTAAGCCAAGCCACAAGGTTTTAGCTCAGCGGCACATTTGAAAAAAAAATTGTTTTTAAGTGTAGAAACAGTGAAATTTGGTAGAGAAAGGGAGTTCAGAGGTGTTTCCTAAAGCTGGTTTTTATGGAAAAGTCACTGAATTATGGAATATTGTGAGTTGGATCCTGTAGGGGTCATCCAGTCCAGCTCGTGGTCATGCCCAGACACCAAACCAAACTCTAACAAACAAACGAACCAACAAACAAAAAAACTCCAAAAAAATCAACAATGACAGCAAAAAAAAACCCAAAAAAAACCCAAAAAACCCACAAAACAAATAACCCAAAAACAAACAAAAAACCCACAAAAAAACCACAAAAAAACCAAAACAAACCCACAAAAAACCCACCAAAAAACAAACAACAAAAAAACAAACAAGAGAAAAAGTCAAACCAAACAAAAAACCCCAAAAAAACAAACAAACAAACAAAAACAGAAAAAACCCAAAAAAACCAAACAACAAAAAGCAAACCAAACAAAAAAAGCAACCAAAAAAACCCACCAAAAAACCAAAAAAACCAACCAAAAAAAACCCAAAAAACAAACAAACAAACAAACAAAACCCACAAAAAACCCCAAAAGCCAAACAACCAAAAAAACCCCAAACCAAACAAACAAAACAAGAAAAAACCAAAAAGAAAAAACCCACCACAAAAAAAACCCCAAAAAATTCCAAAAAACCAAACAACAACAAAAAACCCAAAACCAAACAAAAAACCCCCAAAAACAAACAAAAACCCTAAAAAATCCCAAAAAGACCCCCAAAAAACCAAACAAACAACAAAAAAAACCCCCAAACAAAAAAAATTAAACAACAAAAAAAACCAACAAAACCAAACAAAAACCCTAAAAATCCCAAAAAAGACCCCCAAAA